GGGGCGGGGCGAATCGCGGCGGCTCCTCCCCCTGGCTCCGTGCCGGCTCCGGGGCTCCGGCGCAGTACGAGCAAGTGAGCGAGGGGTCCTCCTTCCGCCTCCTCTCTCGGTCGTTCGCACTGGGCCAGGCGGTGGCTCCGAAGCGGTTTCCTCGCGAGCCGGTGCCGACGAGCGGCGGGAGAGGAGGAGCATCCGGACGGGAGGAGACGCTTGCGGGCTCCGCGCACTAAGCCCCGGCCAATTAGCGCGCCTCGCCGGCAGTGACGTCGGTCTCCCCGCCCCAAGGGGCCGCCCCTGTCCGAGAAGCCACGCCCAGCGGCTGCCCGGCGACACCCTCCCGGCTGCTCCCGCGCGCTCCTAGAGGCCGCGGCGACCCGGCGAGCGGAGGACGCGGCGAGGTGAGCCTGAAGCACGAGGCCGCGCGAGGGGAGGCCGAGCCCACTGCACCTTCCCGAACGCCCCGTCCCTTCTTTCCGCAGCAGATCCCCGGGTGCGGGATCCTGGCTTTGCAGCGAGTGTGCTCACCTCAGGGAAGCTCCCTGGGGCTCCCAGCCTCTCCAAATCCCAGAAGCTTAGGATCCTTCCCACCGGAACACTCCCTGGGACCAGTGCTGCGTGCTCCTGTCCTCGGGTCCAGGCGCCCGGCCTCGCCGTCCGCAGGTCCCCGCGCCCTGGGCGCAGGCGGCCCGGGCGGAGCTGCAGACGCATCGGCGACCGGGGGCGCATTGCGGGCGCGACCCGGAGAATGCCACCGCGCCGCCACCCAGAGGTGACGCTGGCGGGCGCCCAGGCTAACGGCTGCATCTGGACTGTAACGCTCTTTGAAAACTATCCCAACGACAGTTTAGGAAAAGCCCTCCCCCACTCCACTTCACCCCAAAGCCTCCATCTTTGGGGGTATCGTTTGCTGTATACTGTTTCCACGCCTAACTCTCGAATTTTGAAGCGGTGTCGGTACGCTGTGAATGGAGGAATTCAGTATGCTACCACCTTGACAGGCTTTACATTTTTAAGTTTTGTGACACTTTGAAGACCTCCAACATGTCTTATCTCTGATGCTGTTGATTTTTTTTTTTTTTTTTTTGCAGTATAGTCCAAATCTCTACAATGCAGCTGTTATTTGCCGTCCATAAGTGCTATCTAGGAGTCCTGGTGTGGCGCTATGGGTTAATGCGCCAGACTGCAAAGCTGTTTGAACTGCAAGGTTGGCAGTTCAAGTTCACCACCTGCTCCTTGGAAACCCTAGACAGGGTCGCTATGGGTCGGAATCGATTCGACGGCACTTCACAACACAACAAGTGAGTTCTGACTTATAGCTTCCCTGTATAGTGTTTTCGAGGAATGGCTAGTGGGTTTGAACCGCCGACCTTGCTGTTAGCTGTCCAGTGCTTATCCTACAGCACCACCTCAGGGTTAATTAAAAAGGGATGTGTGTATGTGTGTTTTAATTCTTAATGTTCTGGTAACGTAGTATTGGGCTGCTAACCTCAAAGTCAGCAGTTCGAAACTACCAGCAGTTCTGCGGGAGAAAGATGAGACTTTCTGCTCCCATAAAGATTTACAGCCTCGGAAACCCTGTTCAGGGTCGCTGTGAGTCGAAACCAACTCGCCAGCACTTAACAACCACAATTACTACTACCAAGGATCTCTGGTAGCATGCTGATTACGAATCAGGCTGCTAATCTCACGGTCAGCAGTTCGAAACTACCAGCCGTTCCTCGGGAGAAAAGATGAGGCTTCCTGCTCCCGTAAAGACATAGCCTCGGACACCCTATACATGGTCGCTGAGTCAGAATCGACTCCACAGCACACCACCACCACCACCACCACTATAACTACCAGTAGGCCTGGTGAGGGGCTGTAAGATAAGCACTGGACTGCTAACCGCTCCGTGGAAACCCTACAGGGTCACTAGGAGTAGAAACCGGATTCCATGGCACTTTATAATAACAACCACAAGTATGAAGTAGCCCTGGTACCATAGTGGGCTACCAGTTGGGCTGCTCACCGAAAGGTCGGCAGTTCGAAACTACTACCAACCACTCCACTGGAGAAAGATGAGACTTTCTGCTCCTGAGAAGATTTACAGCATTGAAATCCTATACAAGGTCAAAGTGAGTCACATCAACTGGATGACACACAATCAGCAGCACAGCTGGGCTGTAGGAGTATGTCAACATTTAGGATCACTTTGCTTTCTCAACGTGTTGAGTCAACTGTTGTGAGAGTGGGTTTTATCCGACAGGATGTTGCAGAGGCTGCATTGATACTGCCTGGTGGTGGTGGAACCCACACATCATGCCCTTGTTGTTAACTGACATTGAGTTGTTATGACTCATAGCGACCCTGTATAGGGTTTCCAAGGCTGGTGAACTTGAACTGCCGGCCTTGTGGTTCAAACCGATAACCAGTGCTTTATCCCACAGCCGCACCAGGACTCCTCAAGCCCTTAGAAGCTAATTTGTAAATCAATCAAAGGTTGACCTAAAGCCTAAATGAGTTTCAGGGATAAAATGTGTGCTGGGATTATTTTTAGCAAGGAAAAAAATGTTTTCAACACATTTGAGATTGACAAAATATGAAGGCCATTTTCATCCAGGTAATTTTCTTATGTTCTTAGAGTATAATTTAGGAATGTTATAACAATCAGAAAAGTTTATGTAGGTTCATTGATCCTCCACTTTACCAACTTTTACTAACGAAAGTTCAAGAGCTTGGACAGACTTTCCTCTTCCTCAGTGAGCATTAAATAGGCTAGGATATTCTGTTCCTACATTAGTAAAATTTAGGGTAAAATATTTTTGTTGTTATTAGGTGATGTGGAGTTCATTCTAACTTATATACAGGAGAACACCACCCTTCCCAGTCCTGCACCAGCCTCAACAGTTGTATGGTTGAGCCAATTGGTCCAGCCACTCTGTCAATCCATCTGGTTTCCATCTTTACCAAGCATGATGTCCTTTTCCAGGGACTAATTCCCTTCTGATAACATGTCCAAAAAATGTGAGATGAATTCTTACCAGTCTCTTTTCTAAGGAGCACTCGAGCTGTACTTCTTCCAAGACAGATGTTTCTTCTGGCAGTCCATGGAACTGTGAATATTCTTCACCAACACCATAATTTAACTACATTAATTCTTCATTGGTCTTCCTTATTCATTGTCCAGCTGCCACATACATGTGAGGCCATTGAAAAATACCTTGGCTCGGATTAGCTTCGTCTTAGTCCTCAAAGTGACATGTTAGCTCTTTAACACTTGAACGAGGTTATTTGCAGCCATTTTGTCCAATGCCGTATGTCCTTTGATTTCTTGACTGCTGCTTCCATGAACATTGATTGTGAATCTAAATAAAATGAAATCCTTCACAACATCAATCTTTTTTGCTGTTTATTGGTCCAGTTGTGAGTTTTGTTTTCTTTATGCAGAGATGTAATCCATACTGAAGGCTGTAGTCATTGATTTTCATCAGCAAGTACCTTTCAGCAAGCAAGGTGTGTCATCTGCATATTGCAGGATGTTAATGAGCTTTCCTCTAACACTCATTCTCAATTCTTTTCCTATGGTCCAGTCTCAGATTAATTGCTCAGAATACAGATTGAATAAGTATGGGAAAAGGATACAGCCCTGGCTCACACCTTTCCTGATTTTAAACCATTCATTATCACCTTGTTCTGTTTGACTGCCTCTTTTTTTTAATGTTTTATTGTGAATTATGTGAAAGTTTACATGGGAGAACATTAGTTTTATATCCATTCTACCGTATATCGTCTCATTGCCATGGTAACCATATCCTCCATGTATCATCAACCAACCAAAGGGTATACCCTGCAAGCCTGCCCCCCCCCACTCCCCCCAGTCTTCAGCACACAGTCGCTCTCCCTCTATGGATCTAAAGTCCCCAGCTGCTCCTTCTCTCCATGTCATTGTCTCTGCCTCCATCTCAGGCATTGCTGCTTCTCTGGGTAGATTGACTGCCACTTGGTATACAATTAAGTGTTCTGGGATTTCCATGCTTTATAATCTCCATAGTTTATAATCCACACACCAAATGCCTTTTTATAGTCAATAAACCTCAAGTAAAAATTTTTCTGGTATTCTCTGCTTTCAGCCAAGATGTAAGCAACAGTATCTTTCATTACATGTTGTCCTCTGAATCTGGCTCATCTTTCTGGTAGCTTCTTGTCAATAGCTACTGCAACAGGTTTTGAATTATCTTCAGCAAAATTGTACTTGTCTGTGATATTAATAATGTTCAATAATGTCTGCATGTTGTTTGGAACGGGCACAAATATAGCTATCTTCCAGTTAACTGTCCAGGAATCACTTGGCATGTTTGTTGTTAGGTGCCATCAGTTCAGTCTGACTTATAGCGACCCACTGCCCAACAGAACGAAACACTGGCCAGTTCTATGCCATCCTCACAATTATTTATGTTTAAGCCCATTGTTACTGCCATTGTGTCAGTCTATCTTCTTGTGGGGTCGTCTTCTGTTTCGTTAATCCTCCACTTTACCAACCATGCTATCCTCCAGGGACTAGACCCTCCTAATAACATGTTTAGAGTATGAGAGGTGAAGTCTTGCTATCCTGGCTTCTAAAGATCATTCTGGCTGTATTACTTCCAGCACAGATTTGTTTGTTGTTCTGGCAGTCCATGGTGCTTTTAATATTCTTCTGCAATACCATAATTCAAATGCATCAATTCTCTGGTTTTCCTTGTTCATTGTCCAGCTTTCATATGCATGTGAAGCAATTGAAAAATATCATGGCTTAGATCAGGTGCACCTTAGTCTTCAAACTGATATCTTTGCTCTTGAACACTTTAAAGAGATCTTGTGCAGCAGATTTGCTAATGCGATAATACAGCAATTGATTTCCTGACTGCTGCTTTCATGAGTGTTGACTGTGGATCCGAGCAAAATGAAGTCTTTGGCAAGGCCAATCTTTTCTCCATTTACCATGAGGCTATTTATTGGCCCAGTTGTGAGGATTTTAGCTTTCTTTACATTCAGGTACAACCCATACTGAAGGCTGTGGTCATTATCTTCATCAGTAAGTCCTTTTCGCTTCAGCAAGCAAGATTGTATCATCTGCATATTGCCGGTGTCTTCCTCCAATCCTGATACCATGTTCTTCTTATTTATTTATTTTTTGGCTCAGCATACAGACTGAATAAGTGTAATGAAAGGATAGAACCCTGTCACACACTTTTTTTTTTTTCATTTTATCATTCTATTTTATTTCCGTCATCTCTATGAGGTAAATGTTAAAAGACTGACATATATCCTTTCGTGAAACATATAATATAGCCAAAGTTATATAATTTGTTGATATATATATATATACACACACAGACACACACACGCATGTATGCAGGGAGAGAGAGGTTAATTGATTTAGGGGTTTTCAATGACATAGAATCCTATTACGCACATAATTCACTTCATGAACCTACAAGTCATTAAATATATTTTGCTGTTAAATGCCATTGAGGCGATTCAAGTCATATCAACCCTGTAGAGGGTTTCTGAGGAGACGTTGTTGGACTTGAATCACAGGTCTAAATGTCTATTTATGTATGGTGTCCTGATGTAGCATTGTAGGATCACCATTGAACTATGAACCACAAGATCAGAAGTTCAAATCCACCAGCGGTTCCTCTGAAACCCTGTTCCTTGGAAATCAGACTCAATGGTACTTAATGATGATGGTTTTATCATTTCTTCTAATTTTCCTATGAAAACACTTTGTTTATTATGCTTTGAAGATAAGAGGTGGTTCGTGTGGCTAGGATGTTGCTTCC